GCCCATCGGGGCGGCCCACGTACTGCGAAAGAGGCGACACTTCGAAAGCATTTGATTTGTTCGATATCATGATCTCAGTTGGAATTCAGCCTAGTTTAGAAACTTTAGCTTCTATTTTTAACGGGCTCAAAAGAACATCCCGTTTTCAAGAATCGCACGCACTGCTCCACGAGATGGCGAAAGACGGTTTTGCCCCCACCGAAAGACAGTACAGCAGTTTGATAACGAGCATGTGCAAAATCGGAGATATAAAAGGAGCGCTCAAAGTGAAAGATTCTATGGCGGCACTCAGTGGTGTTGGCTCTCGCCAGGTGGCGGAGAGTGCTTTGGTTAGAGGGCTCGTGCAGCAGGGGAAAACAGAGGAGGGTGTTCTCGTAATTAATCGCATGCTGAGGGGCGGAATTGTTCCGACGGTTCCGACTTTCACGACCGTGATTCATGTGCTTTGTAAAGAATCTAAATTTTCGGAGGCACTCGATTGTAAAAAGTTGATGGAGAATCATGGCTGTAAGCCTGATGTAGTTACTTACAATGTTCTTTTAACTGGCTTATGTCGGAGTGGTGATATTGCTCGTGCTTTTGCGTTGTACGAGGAGATGAAATTAAGGAGCGTTTGTCCGAATATCACCACTTTTTACGTTCTTGTTAGTGCCGTTTTGTCTGAAAATGACTGTGTTAATGGTGAGGGAATTTTGAAGGATTTGGAGGAGAGAGGATTAGTTAGTGGAGATTCGGTTTCTCGAGATTGGAATATAAGATTGGAAGAGGCGGTAGTGAATATAGACCGCTTAAGGCACAAATCGAAGATCGGTGGAATCAGAAGATAAAGTATTCTTTCTTTATTTTCTTGATTACTGAAAGATCAGGAATCGTGGGGTTTTGACCACTTAACGGGGTCTAATGCTGAAATCAAGGTATTTTTTTGCTTTTATTGGTTAGTGATGAATTTTCTTGATTTTGTCTATTTTCCTAAGTACATTTTGTTGTTTAAATTTCCTGTATTTATCACATTTCTTATAGTTTTGTTATCTGCAAATGCAGGCTGAATCAAAAGATTCGACTTATGGGCGTTCGAGTTAAATCAAAAAGTTGCTTATGCAACTATTGCCAGGTAGAATATCCTCTTCTTTAGCTTCTTTTTAGTTATATAAATCCTCAAAAAGAACCGTGCAGTAAAAATGTGCAAGAAACATGATCAAGAATTTGTTTACTCAAAATGTAACTCTTGAGAAATCAGGTTTTAAAAATCGAGTCTTTGCAAAATATGAAAGAATCACCCTTTTTCCCACATCTTGTTTTCGCCACTTTAAGACATGAAATTCTCCAGGTCTTCGATTGATATAATTTTTTTGAGATATGATACCTTAAAAGTTTGACTCTATGTTTTCGACTGGTTTGTGACAGATGATGTATTTCAGATACAGCGACAAGGGCTGGTTGACTTTCATCGCGGACAGACGAATGAAAGCCAAAGGATATACGATCGTGTCCGTGAGTTATGTTCTCGTTTTGTTTAAAACGCAGTGCAGTGAGTTCACGCTGTTCGATTTTTGGGAAGTTTGATGAAGTCTGAAATGGAGGACTACCAATCCAAGCAAAGTTTGTACACTCACATTTTCCATTATTGGAGCAAAGTGTTATTTTTTATTCATTTCTTATGCAACTGTAATTATCAACTGTATTGGGTCTGGCTTCAATTCAATGTGATTTGTGTTGATTAATTTAAATACATATTTTGTTCAATTAAACTAGTTTATTAATCAAATCGAATTCAAATGATTTCCAAATGAGATATTTAGATTCAATTAAAATAGTAATATCAACCAACATACATGTAATTAAGTATACTTCATTTGTAATTAATCGGAGTTAGTTGCTAATTATGTAAATACAATAAATTAACAGTCCCAATATGCAATTAATCTACTCTTGATTGTACATTTGCCTTGATCGACTGTACACTGCAAATTACTTTTCCCTTTGGAGCTCTCTCCTCTCTCTCTCTCTCTCTCTCTCTCTCTCTCTCTCAGTTTCTCTCTCTTCCCCCATTCGAATCCCTTATTGCGAATCTTCCCGGTAGACCAAACGGCCAAAACCTCGCATCTGTACGGTGTATACATATGCTGCTCACGCTAGGGTTTTCGTTTTTCTTTAATCAAATGTAAAAGCTGAGGTCTTGCTGGATTATGCAGGTTAAAAAATGGAGAATCCGAACCCGGGAGTGAACCAGCTTCCAGAATCCGACTCGTTTCCCGACGGATTCGTCGTATCTTCTCCGGTGACTGATTACAAGGAGGAAAAATTAGTGGAGCTCGATTCACGGCCAGAAGTCGTAATTGAAAATGCCTGTTCGTCTTCGAGCAATTCAGTCGAGAATGCGGGCCATCGTAGCGAATCAACGGCGGCAGCTCAATGTAAAGTTTCTTGTTCATTAGTGTTTAATTGTTATTAATGCTGCCTTTTTTGAATTGAAGTGTTATTAGGTTAAAAATGTGTTGGAAAATGTTTTTTGGGGGAATTTCAGGGGTTAATGACATCAATTCAAGTTTTTTATATTGTTGTTATTATTATTATGATATATATCGATGAAATTGGACGATATGCATGTGCGAAGACTACTTACGGACGGGGCTCCACCGACCTCGACAACTGGCTGATTTAGCGGTTTCAATATACATTATATACAAACATATGATATTTAGCTGTTCTTGTGTAAGAGCTTATTGCATTATACGTATTAGGTTTTGGAAACGTTGTTTGATTTCTGGTACTTAGAAGCACATCGGATCATTTTATTGCGTTCGGTTGTTTTGTGGCTTTGCTAACAGTTCATTGTACTTGAACTATTTTTGCAGCTGTTGAAAGTGCAGAACTACAAGCAGTTTCCTCGGAGGCGATTTCGGTTGCAGTTAGTGCTGAAAACAAAAAAGTACGCAGTAATTCATCTACTAGAAAAAATAAAAAATAAATAATAATAACTGATTTTCTTGTGGTTAATATTTTCTTAGTTCTTCATTTTGTTGTAACTTTCAAAACAGTGATATGATTTGTATTCTTCTTTCCATATTTATTTTTTGGGTAAATTACGGCCAACCACTCGAGGTAAGGTCTAATTACGAAACCCCCCTCTGTATGGGTAATTATATCACCCCCAACTGTGAATCTTCTTACACGTCCGCGTCCGCCCTTGTGGTGTCAAATTTAGTGGTATCTTCTAGATTATGTGGAATATTCTCCAGGTTGTACCCGTTTTACCCTATTCGAGCTCCACATTTTGAAACAAAATGATCATAAGATGGTCTCGTGACTTGTAAATATGGTGCATTAGAAACTGCATTTTTGCACAACATGAGTAAAAACTAGAGAACATTCTATGGAATCTATAGGTGTGTAAGAAGATTCATAGTTGAGGGATGGTTGTAATTACCCAAACCAGAGGGTTTTTTTTCGTAATTTGACATTACCTCGGAGGGGTGGCCGTAATTTACCCTTATTTTTTCATGCTTTCTGAACCCTTTAAGAGAAAGTCGACAGTAGTTTGAAGATCATATTAAATTCTTTTCTGCATTTCTCTATGTTAAAATATAAATCTTATGCTATTCATACTTTGTCAGGAACCCTCAGAAGTGAAGCGTAAACCTGTAAAACGGACATTTAAATCAGAGAAGGAGTTTTTGGAGTTCACTCTTAAGTATCAACAAGTCGTCGTTGAAAGAGATTCCGGTACGTCGTTATTAATTTCACCATCTGAATTGCACAAGTTTAGTTCTCGACTTCTCGTCACTTTTTTATGAAGGTTTTGCAGCTCAAATATCTTATTTTCATTTTAACCTTGTAATTATTTGTATTTTCCCCCCCGGAAATTTACATCCTTATATATTTTTAACATATTGCCATGTCATCTTGCATGAATCTAGTAATCCACATATTTGTTTTGAAACTGAACTAAACTCCTTAATATTATTGTACATCAAGAAACATCCCTTTTATGCGCTAATCTATGTATTACTCTCGTTTGCAGCTATTGCTGTTAGAGATAAACTCGAGTCATTGTGCCGAGAGCTGCAACGCCAGAATAAATTATTAATGGTATTTTCTGCTCCAGTTTACGAATTTTCTAGATTGTCCTCAAAATGACTATTATGACCTTCGGGGTGCATTATATTGACATGGGGAGATGCATGCTGCACTTATCATATTTCCATACTTCACCCTCAAGTTTCGAATAAATGACAACTTCTCTGCTTAACTGTTGACTTATTAAGTTGTCCTTATTAACTGCTGTAAATTCCGTGATATTAGTTGGTCTTTCTAATCGCTGATTCTTTGTCAATTTTCAGGATGAATGCAAACGAGTCTCGTCAGAGGGTCAACATTTGAGAGTAGATCTGTCAAACAAGTTTCAAGATGCAATAAAGGTTTGCGTACTATTTTATTGAGCACTTATAAATAACGATCAGTTCCTGATTTCTATTATGTTCTTGTTGGGCTGCTGCAAATTATTTATCCTATTATTTTATATTCGTCCTGTTAGACTTATTAACACCGTTAGAGGTTAAATAGGCAAACTAATATTTGAATATATTTTTTTTAATCTTTTATATTTATGTTTTCGATACATTATTACAGGAAGTAAGTCTTAAGCTGGAGGAGCAGAAAGATGAATGTATATCTCAGCTAAAGGAGAATGAAATGTAAGAACAAAATGTAATTTCAATCCTCAAAACAGTGCCTATATGCATGCTAAATGATTACGCGTTTTTTTTATCGAACTTCAGGTTGAAGATCAAGTTAAAACAACTTATTGATCAATACGCTCTTTCTGAGCAGCAGCATGCACAGCAGGTAAGAAACTCTCCAACCAAAATTTCGGGGATGAAAGTGTTCTAACAAAAGTTTTTGGTGGGCGAAAATGTCAATTAAAGAATTGGGTCCAAGAATTGAGAACTTCTTTCGTCGGTTTTGGCATTTTGCAGCTGAAACAGAAATCACTTGAACTTCAGCTAGCCGATTTAAGACTTCAACAACACGAAGAGAAACTGAAGCAGGAACAGTCTCAAATGAAAATGTATGCCGAACAAGTGTCCCAACTTTTATCGACCGAAAAGAATCTAAGGTTGCAATTAACCGCCGACGGTGAAAAGTTCCAACAATTCCAGGTTGGCCTTTTTTTCTTTCTTTTATGCTACGGAATGAACATAGAGAGAGTGAAATTAGCGCATCGCTTATTTTTTTTATTTTTATTTTTCCGTTGAAAGGAAGCATTGATGAAAAGCAACGAGGTTTTTGAAACGTTCAAGCAAGAAACTGAGAAGGTGCGGTTCATGGCATCTTTTTTTTTTACATAATTCTCGTCATCTTTACGTGTATTTTTCTTCTATTTATTAAACAAAATAACATATTTTGTATTTATGGATGGATTTGAAATCAGATGGCTAAATCGATAAAGGAGCTCAGAAAAGAAAATGTCTTCTTGAAGAGCAAATCTGAAAAATCAGACGTTACTCTTATAGAACTCGCAGAAGAGGTAAGCCTTTCTTATGCACCTTTCCACCTTTACACTAATACCTAAGGCCTTGTTTGGTTCCCAAGTTAGATTATGCAGCCTTGTGAGAACCCGTTTGTATAATTGGACTAGGGGTAGAAATCGGACGGATCGGATTGGAATTAGCACTTTCTGAAAAATTGTCATTTTTTTCGAAAGTGAAAAACTGGTTCCAACTCCTTTAAAAAAATATCAGAAAATCGGAAATCTGAATTTGGAATGAAAAAATTTGTTCCAAAATTGGAATTTTTGGGATTGGAATCGGAAAACACAATAATTTTGATATTGCAAGTGTAAATGTCGAAAAAATCTGAATTTTAGGAATTATTTTCGGTAATTGGATCGGAAATCGGAATTTCATATTTATTCCAATTTCAATCCAAAAAAATTGGGAAAACTTGGACTTTCGGAATTTGGAACGAAAAATATTGTTCCAAAATTGGAATTTTTCGGATCAGGATCTGCTGAAATTGGAAATCCCGTACCAATTTCCACTCCTAGGTCCAATGAGACAAGATGAGCATATTTTTCCATAACTGCGGACCGATCCAAAAAGTTAATACACATAACCAAACATCGAATAAAACCTAATTATTTAACTAATCACGGCTTATCTATCCAACCAAACGAGGCCTTACTTTCTCTTTATCTTGCATCAAATCATAACTTGACTTTTATTCTTGACCAGCGTGAGCGCTTGAAGAAACAACTGGAGAAAACGAGAAATCAAAAGGAAAAACTCGAATCTTTATGCCGATCACTCCAAGCAGAGAGGAAAACAATTACTTCCGGAGGCAACAGTACCCCGGATGCACTCCCACCCTAAGTTACGACGCACTTGCAATACGAACAGACCTTAGCTGCTTCTTAGCAGTAGTTTATTCACTGGTTTTGAATCATGATATTTCTTCTGTAGCTCATGTTTTAGTTATTGTTATTTTTTTTTTGATCAAAATTTTAGTTATTGTTATTAATTATTATACAATATGCCAACTAAAGTTTTGCTCTTTGTATTAATTTTTTTATTCTATTTTGTATAATGAAGATAGAGATATGGCAAAATTAGTAATGTTTGAAATCAAAATTATAATTTAATTGGAATTGGAATTGGAATAATTAACAAATATTAATGACAAAATCACAAGAAAATAAATTATATAGGATTATAACTGCTATTTTAAATCCGAAGCAAATTAAAATCTCTAATTAGGATTACTCTCTAACTTAATGATAAATAACCTCCCTAGCTCATTATTTCAATCTACATTATTTTGTACTGCTTTAGTTTTTTTTAAGAATAATTCAATCTTCCACAGATCTTGATGTTTAATTTCTCAAGTAAGTGGTATTATTGTAAATAATTATTCCCATTTATTTTTTATATTTTATTTTGTGATAAGAATATAATTATCCTAATTAGTGGTTGATGACCATGACTATTATCAACTATTAAGATTGAAGAACAGCTAAGAAAATATTGACCTAAAAAGTCAAGCTTTGGGTGTCCACGCGCCTTTACAGTTGGCGTGTGGAATAGACGACGTCGTTTTACATGTTTCTGACAAAAATACCAACTTTTGTACAATTTCGCCGTTCTCTCACCACCATCGTCTTACCTACTCCAAATTTTGTCAATCCCCCTCTTCTCTCTCTAGAGATCCTTTTCTAGCTCAAGTTTTTTCGATCGGGATCCTCTCCAAAACGTCGTCGGTTTAGATTTTAAAGGTTAGCTCGAATTTTGTCAATTTCTTTTTTTTTTCTCTCTCTCTAAAAAATCTCGAATTTGGGTATCTTAGCAAGTTCTGGATCGTAATTTGGTGGTTCGAAAATTGAAATTCGATTGATTGTTTGTTGGAATTCCTCTGGGTCTAACGTTTGTTATTCTAGTCAATGGTATGATATTTTCTATTTTCCTTACGCGTTTGTGTAAATTAATTTCTTATTGTTCTTGGCATGATATTCTGATGGGTAAAATCATTGTGTGTTTATTTGTAAGGAAAATTAGGGTTTCAATTGAGAGAAAATAGGGTTTCTAGATTGAATTTGTGGGGTTATGCTGGGATTTTGCAGAACAAGTTTTCTACCAGTGTGAATCTAGATTGAATTGATGATAATCGGCCTCACGAAGTTTGTATTCGAAGTCGATGTTTACGAACAGTGATTTCAGATTTGTTCAATTTTAAATAATTCTAGGTTAAATCGAAGGATTATTGTAAAATTTGATGAAATCCCTCCAATGTGCATCTTATAGAAATTCTCGTAACTAGAAGTTTCATTCGGTCGATCGATCGATCTGGTTTCTTCGTTTTTCTTGGAGTGATTGGAAGTTTGGCTGCCGGGGATTTTTCTCAATCTTTCTAATTTATTTCTCTCTTGTGCAGACAATTTTTGCTTTCCGAAAATGGATTTTTTCTTCGGGAACTCGGAGAGGGGATCTTCGAACTTTAACCAGGACATTGGTCGGTGCCCATTTTTGAGGAACATAAACGAACCAACCGACTTCTCGTTTTCAACATCAATGGCTATCCCTATTCCCGTAAGTCGTATACATCTTCTTCAATTTTTTTTGTCAAGAATGCATTTCTTATAGGCTCGGTTTGTTATCTTCTACGTCTTGCTTCTCTCAGGCGCGGAATGGAAAAGGTCCTATATTTGAGGACGGTCCCAATTTCGATGCGGCATTCACACTCTTCCACGGGCAGAATGGCGTTGTACCACTTTCCGGAAGGTCATTTGTTCGCACCGACAAATCCATGTCCGAACAAACGCCAGCTCAGTTCAATCCATTGGCAGCAAAAGCAGCCTCCATCAGCCTCTCTGGTTTCGGTGGACCTTTCGGCTTCGATGCTTTCTTTGGAAAGAACAAGAAAGAAAATAAAGGACCCAACTCCTCCAATAAGGTAAAATCCACTAAAAAAATCGAGATACAGTTTACAATGTACTCAACAAAAAAAACGTAATCGAAATATTAACTCTGTTTTTTTTTCGTCACTTTCAGGGAGGTAATTCGGAACACGAAGCAATGAGCAACGAGTGGCTGCAAAAAGGTAACTGCCCGATCGCAAAGTCGTACCGTGCCGTGAGCCACGTGCTTCCTCTGGTGGCAAAGGTTTTCAAGCCGCCACCTGGCATTAAGTACAAATGCCCTCCGGCGATTGTTGCCGCCAGGAGTGCGCTGGCGAAAACTGCCTTCGCCAAAAATCTCCGGCCGCAGCCTCTGCCTGCAAAAGTGCTTGTCATCGGAGTTTTGGGAATGGCGGCAAATATACCATTAGGGATCTGGAGAGAGCACACTGCAAAATTCTCTCCGTCTTGGTTTGTTGCCGTTCATGCGGCCGTGCCTTTCATAGGCATGCTTAGGAAATCGGTGCTGATGCCGAAGGCAGCTATGGCTTTTACGATCGCAGCGTCGATTCTCGGACAGGTGATTGGTTCTAGGGCAGAGAGGTACCGTCTGAAAGCAGTTGCTGCGAGGAAAATCGAATTGTCTGAACCTTTCAGTGTCGGGACTAATCAGTCGACAGTTAATGGACTTGGAGACGGGCATTGCAGAGAAGACGTTGATTGGAACTCGAAATCTCTCCAAATTGGTATTCCCATTGCCACGTCATCGAGTTGATAGGTCGTGGTTCGGTATTTGATATTGTTCTCCATTGTTGGTTTTTTTTTTTTTTTGTCGTTTTTCGGAACCGAAGGGCCTCTAATAATTGGTGAAATAAATGTGGGGAATGTGATTTCTTGTACTAATATTATCATACTCAGAAATTGAGATGTGTTTGTTTGTGTGTTGATGTTTTGATTGTGTTGCTGGCTTTTTATGCTCAAGGTCAATTCTTTTAGGAAATGCATTAAGAATTAGGGTAAATTGCAACCAACCCTGAGGTATGGTCAATTTACGAAAAATTCCCTCTTGTTTGGATAATTACATCTATCCCCTCAACTATGATTTTTTCTTACACCTCCACCCTTATGATGTCAAATTCAACATAATTATCTAGATTTCGTGGAACGTACTATAGTTTGTACTCGTTTTGTGAAAAAATACAGTTTCTGATGCACCACAATTTGATATATCCAAGCCAAAAAATACATATTATGATCATCTTGTTTCAAAATGTGGAGTTCGAATGGGATAAAACGGGTACAAAAGTGATAATATTCCATACAATCTCGAAGATTCCACTAATTTTGAAACCGCAAGGATGGACATGTAAAAATATTTATAGTTGAGGGGGTTGGATGTAATTACCCAAACAAGAGGAGAGTTTGTAATTTGACCATACCGCATGGGTGGTTGTAATTTACCCTAAGAATTAAAATAACAATCGTCTATAAATCAGGAAACCCCGTCACATAAACAAGAAAGAGAAGGAGAATTGGAAGGAATAACACCGTTTGAGTTTGCAAAAGAAGCCTATTTGGCGAAATTACGAGCAACACTCATTAGAGTAGAGATCTAGGGTTCGAATTCATATAATCGTATTGAAATTGTCGGCATCACATGCACTCGTATGAGGGAGGTTGTTGACAATTATTATTTTTATTTTTTTTGTTATAAGTTGTTGGGAAATTAAAATGAGGTTGTTAGGCAAAAATAAACCCAAATGGTCCCATCCAATTCATAAAATATCTTTGTCATCATACTCATGAGAGTAAAGACCACATATAATTTTTTTTTTATATTTTATTTTTGGGAAATTTGTTAAATTAATTGAATTGTTCTTTTCCATTAGGATATTCACATACCTTAATGCTATCCATGTAAGTAACTAACTAAACAAAACCTCATTAAATTACATAATGAGGTTCAATTAGATATATCATATAATCAAGGGGGCTAAAATGCAATTAACCCCCAAAATTTACATATTAACTTCACTCACTCACAAGTCACAACACGTGTGAAAATCATCGTTCTGCCATTAAAACTACAAACCAATTATTAGTTAACTACTGTTTGTTTTTCTTGACTGTTTAGTACCATTGTCCAATCACAATCTCCCATTGTTTTGTAGCTTAATTCTCTCTACCTTTTTTTTTTCTTTTAAACTTTTTTAGCAGAATTAAATTATGAGCTGTAATTTTGGCGATTTGTGTGTATTTTCTTGATTCTTAAATTCATGGGGTTTCATTCTCAAACATAACGCATGTGCTTGTCAGCTGTGTCATGGATTGCAGCAGATAACCAAAAACAGCTGACTTTTCTTATATTTTTATTCTTTTTATTATTTTTACTTTTATAGTTTTTTCTTGGTTGAATCTGAGAATTTCATAGGGATTTGTGTTGATGATTTTTATATTCTTCAACTGAGCTATCAGTATAAATGCCACCCCATGTTTTTCTGTTTCTTGATAGCCTTTGTTAATGGAGGAGCCTAACTCAATATCATTTCTTCTGTAAAAAATAAAATAAAACCCTAATTTCATATTGGGAATCCAAGAACCCTCTTTTTTTGGTGTTTCTGTTACTGGGCTGTGGCCAAATTGATTAATGGGGTGTAAATTTAGGTCAATTTCATGTTCAATTTGCCTACTGTGGTTGAATCTTTTTGTGGGTATTGGTTACTCTTTGTATAATGCAGATCAAGAAAACGATAGGATAACTTATTTACCCGGTCAGCCGGAAAACATCGGATTCGATCAGTACTCGGGTTATGTAACTGTTAATCAGCAATCTGGTAGAGCATTGTTTTACTGGTTAACTGAGGCACCTACTAATAGAGGGCCCGATTCACGGCCGCTTGTTTTGTGGCTCAATGGTGGGCCCGGTTGCTCTTCGGTAGCTTATGGAGCTGCCGAAGAAATCGGGCCTTTTCGGATTAATTCGGATGGGAAAACCCTTTACTCCAATTCTTATTCTTGGAACAAATGTATGTGGGAATTGGATTTTTGTGTCGTTTTATTTACGGTGGTTCTTTATTTTCTTCGGTTTTTTTCAAGATTCTTTAGTAATGTTTTTTTTGTGGCAGTGGCGAATTTGCTCTTCCTTGAGTCGCCAGCTGGCGTTGGCTATTCGTATTCGAATACTTCGTCGGATTTGTATACTGTAGGTGATCAAAGAACAGGTAAATGTCTAGGAAAAAAATTCAATCTTTTTGATTATTAAGAATGTTTGTCCGAATTGTTTTGTGTATAAAGTGCTATAAATTGTTGTGAATTTCAGCCGAAGATGCTTATGCGTTTCTGGTCAACTGGTTTGAGAGGTTTCCGCAGTACAAACATCGAGACTTCTACATTGCCGGAGAAAGTTATGCAGGTCTTGAATATATTTTCGAAATAGACAACGAATTAATAATCTAAATCTTGACCTCTGTTTTTTCGTCTTTTTTTTCAGGGCACTATGTTCCTCAGCTATCTCAAATCGTCTACGAAAAAAACAAGGGAATTCAAAACCCGGTTATTAATTTCAAGGGATTCTTGGTAAAAAAAAAAAAATTCTTTCGGGCTTTGCTTAATTTAAATTCTTGTTTCGTTATTTAAGTGATTTTTTTTTTTTTTTTTTTTTGTTTAGGTGGGAAATGCTGTAACCGATGATTTTCACGATTATGTTGGTACATTCGAGTATTGGTGGACACACGGTTTAATTTCGGATTCGACTTACAAAACTCTTCGAATAACCTGTGATTTGGGATCTTCGACTCATCCTTCGAGTGACTGTGTTAAAGCTCTTGACCTAGCCGATAAAGAGATGGGAAATATCGATCCGTACAGCATCTACACTCTCCCTTGCAATACTACTTCTTCACTTAGGCTCCGTTTAAGGGGTCACTACGTAAGTAATTCGATACCACTTTCCTTAAAAAAATACGAAAAAATAATAAATTTTCAAGTGTCCCTTTTTTGGTAAAAGATAAAATTTCGTTTTTTTTTCTTTTTCACATTGATGATTTTTTTTTTTTGTGTGAACTCGTTTCTTGAAACGTAGCCATGGATGTCGAGGGCGTATGATCCTTGTACCGAAAGTACTCGCAAATATATTTTAATCTCGATGAAGTTCAGAAGGCATTTCATGCCAACGTTACGGGAATATCCTACCCGTGGCAATCGTGCAGGTAATTTTAGCATGTCCCGTTTTCCTCTTTTTTGTTTATATTTCAAAGGGGCTTCTTTTTTTATTTCATTTATTTATTTTAAAATCACGATTCTTTATTTTGCAGTGATGTGGTAGGTAATTACTGGGCAGATTCTCCTCTATCCATGCTTCCGATTTATCAAGAACTAATAGCAGCTGGCCTCAGGATTTGGGTATTTAGGTACAATTTTTTTTTTTCTCCTTTTTTTTTTATCTAGTTTAATCATCGTTGAAAAAATGCGTTTTATCTACCCGTTGTTTATATTTTCAGTGGCGACACTGACTCGGTAGTGCCACTCACTGCAACTCGCTACTCGATCGATGCATTGAAGCTGCCAACTCTCAAAAAGTGGTACCCTTGGTACGACAACGGAAAGGTAATAAGTGTTCGAGAAACGAAGAATCAAATTGAATAAAAAAATATTATTCTTTTTAGTATAATTTCATTTATGTTATATGTATGTATATGTATATACGTAGGTCGGTGGATGGAGCGAAATATACAAAGGATTGACACTGGTGACGGTTACGGGAGCGGGGCACGAGGTTCCTCTTCATCGGCCAAGACAGGCTTTTATTCTTTTCCGATCATTTTTGGACAATAAGCCCATGCCAAGCTGAGACTATTGTCTTCAATTAATAAATATATAGGTATTTATTCGTATCGAAAAATAAAGGGATTATATATATTTATATATATATATTTTTTTCTTTCTTAGTAAAAAAAAGAGAGAAGATTGAAATACGAGACTATAGCTATTGTTTTCGATCGATTTTTAAATAAATCTGTATAGTTTGATCATGTAATATAGAGTTGCATTCTCTGCAACATCTTCTAATTTAGTACTTGAAAGTGAAGATACAGTTATATTTCATAAATTTAACTAGTCCTTTTTTTTTCATTTTATTATTATTATATTTTATTTATTTAGTTATATATATTAATAATAAAATGAATTATCATGGGCTCACCTCTAACTTAAGAGATGGGCTTTGGACTGAAAAAATATTGTCCAATTATGCAAAAACATAACCCCATGTTTACATTTTATTTAGGGTAAATTACGGCCGCCCTCTGTTGTACGAACAAATTACAAAAAAACCCATCATGTCGGGGTTTCGGTTTTTGGGTTTTCGGGTTAGGGTTTTTTTGGATAATTACAATCAATCCTTCAACTATAAATCTTCTTACATGTACATCCTTGTAGTGTTAGATTAAGTGGAATATTCTTCAGTTTGTACCCATTTTATTCCACTCGAGCTCCACATTTTGAAACAAGATGAATTAAGATGCGTCTCATGGCTTGTAAATATATCAGATTGTAGTGCAATATATTAGAAACTACATTTTTGCACAAAACGAGTACAAACTACAAGATATTCGACAGAATCTAGAAGATTTTGTTGAATTTGACACCACAATAGTAGTTGTAATTATCCAAACAAAAGATGGTTTTCGTAAATTGACATTACCTCATGTGTGACCCTCAATTTATCCTTTTATATATGCTCACCTCTAATTAGGGGTGAAAGTCGGATGGATCGGATCGGAATTAGCCTTTTCGGAAAATTTCCAAAAAAATTCGGAAGTACAAAATCAATTCCAATTCCAATTCCCAAATTTTCGGAATCTAAAAATTCATTCCAATTCCAAAAGGCCCGGAAATTTCGGAATTTCGGAAAAAAATCGGAGATCACATAAGCTTTAAAATTTCAAAACTTAGCCGAAATTTTCTAAAATGTTCATAATTTTTCGAAAATAAGAGCATCCACGTCGATAAATGTAAAACTAATAACTACTAAATTTCAGTTCAAAAAAATAAATAAAAATAAACACGGCATAATATCCAATAAAATTTCTAACAACAATTCATTATACCAAAATCCTAAAACAAAACTTATAGATGTATTTTTCAGAAAATAAGTATTGTATAATATATACTATTTATAGTTGTATTTTTCGAAAAAAGATCGGAATTTTTGGGAATTAAATCGAATCGGAAATCGGAAATTCCAAATTTATTTTATATAATTCCAATTCCAATCCAAAAAAATCGGAAAATTTCGGAAGTCGGAATGAAAAAAGTTGTTCCAAAATCGAAATTTTCGGATCGGAACCGACGGAAATTGGAAAATCCGTTCCAACTTGCACCCCTACCTCTAATTATTGATGTACATATTCACATTACGTAATATTTTTAAGACCATAGTTGACTGTTGACCATCTCCCGATTCAGTTATCCGATTAAGAGGGCGGATATTTTGGACTTTTCACTTCATTGCTAAGCAAGAAAATCACTTCTCAATGTACCAATAGGGGATTAATTACAGATTTAATTTATTTAATTCAATAATTAATAAAAAAAAATATGTTTACTTATGCAGCACAACAGCAGTACATGTAGATAACAATTACACAACATGGCCAGTTGTGAAACTATTGACTTAGAAGCATAGATATAGGAGTTATTTAGTAGGGGCAATTTGCTGAACACCCTTCGACACCTCGTAATTTGATCGGAACACACGAGATATTGGCATTTTTTTGTTGAAATTCTTAAGATTTGCTCCATTTTCGTCGCCGTCACCGAAATTCTTCCATACAGAGTGACGCGCACACTCACATAGTGACATGCACACACACCACACAGAGTAACGCACGCACACAACACACTCACACAGGCACATGTAATCACATTCACGAACAATAGTCGTTAAGAAAACCAGATCTATGTATTTTTGTTGGTTCGCTTTGTTTAGCTACAAGATTTGGGAGATAAATGATTGCAAATAGATTTCCATGGTAGATGACCGCTGAACATAATTAAGCTCCGTAACTAAACTTTCACTAAACTCTGTAACTAAGCTCTCCGTGTAATACTTAGACTAAACTCTCAAGAACCTTTAACAAATAGTAGAAAGTCGTGTGTCATTTTAGCTATAAAAAATCTAATTTTCCCCATTTATTATTAAATCTAAACCATGTTTTGTGTTACATTGAAAGGCATGGACAAGTCAAATTCGTTTAGGAAATTGCATATGCCATAAATTCTAGATCATAACTAATTAATAAAAAACTATCACCATTGAGCAACTAGCTATTTTGATTGGATCTTGATCATGTCTTAAAGTCAACCATTTCTTAATTAGGTCAACATATAATCCACATCATACTCATACTAATATCTTTTCATTTAAGTTCACTAAGATCTAAATTGGATCACAAAATTAGCCAACATTGAATCAAGATTTGCTTGCCCACAATGCACATTCACACATGACACATGCATGTGCACCATTTAATGTCACACATCTAACTCCAATAAATATAATACCCTCTAAAATTGTTCAAGAAAACCCATACACAAAATCGATTAATTAACCCAAGTTATTAGCTACCACTAACAATATTTGCACAAAATGAAAGGGCAACTCATTTTTGCCTTATTCCTACTTCCCATTATTGCAACTTCAATTAGTACTACTCCTCCATACCCTAAACAACAAGCCCTAGATAAGATCACTAAGCTCCCCGGTCAACCTTCCAGTGTCAAATTCTCGCAATATTCGGGCTATATCAAAGTGAATGAAAACCCTATTCGGGCTTTATTCTATTGGTTTATTGAGGCAACAAAAAAGCCCGAATCGAAGCCACTTGTCTTGTGGCTCAATGGCGGGCCGGGCTGCTCCTCCATAGCCTATGGAGCTTCGGAGGAGGTGGGCCCCTTTCGTGTGGGGGCCGACGGACGGACATTATCCTTGAGTCATACTTCTTGGAATAAAGGTATGTATGTTAATATAATATGTATAGTTGAAAAACAAAATATATTAATGTGACGAATAATTGGTTCATCGTATTTATGCAGAGGCTAATTTGGTTTTTCTTGATTCGCCTGCTGGGGTTGGATTTTCGTACTCGAACGACTCGTCTGATCTAAAGACTGGTGATCAAAGAACAGGTCATAATATACTAATGTTTAATTTGTATGATTTTTTTTAATTAATTATCTCATTTCATAAGGGGGAACTATTTAATTATTATTTTTTAATATTATTTTCTAATTTTTTTTTCAGCTAAAGATGCCTACAAATTTCTTACCAAGTGGTTCCAAAGGTTTCCTCAGTACAAATATAGATCATTCTACCTTGCTGGTGAAAGTTATGCAGGTAACCAGTCACTAATTAATTCCACTATTATATATATATATATATATATATATATGTATATATATATATATATATATATATATATATGTATATATATATATATGTATATATATATATATATATATATATATATATATATATATATATATATATATATATATATATATATATATATATATAGATATATATACAGATAGAGAGATATACAGATATATAGTATATAAATAAAACAGATGCAATCAAGGAAA